TTTTATTTGCACACGGGCCCAAATTGGTGTAGTTGCGGCACTGACTACCTATGTAATATTTAATCAATGATATTAGCATAGGTTAAATATATATATATATATATATATATGATATATAAATACGAATATTAATTAATCTATGATACTAGGAACTAATTTTATTGAACGTGTTGCGGACATACATAAATGTAGGTCCTTACGACTCATACGGCATGGATGGGACCACATAGATCATAATTAGTAGAGTTCGGGGAAATGTAGAAATATACATGTAGATACAATAAAATGCAAATGTGTGTGCTATGTGTGATTTATGACATGAAGAAATACCATGGGAAAAGTTGCGACAAACATGGAACATGTGCGAATGAGGTCTACTAGATGATAAAAAACGGGCTAGTAGCAAATTATTTAATATAGTTGAAAACAATTATCGCCAGCGCGGCACGTTTAATCTTCACCAAACCTAAGTATATAAGGGGGTTGGAAACAGACCCATATTCAGATGTGGTTTACATGTACAGTCGCAAGCACCTTCACGCCACATTATTTCTCAAATTAATGTTTTGTACTTAGAAAATTTATTGAATAAACAGTTTAAATTACAATTAAGTATTTTTATTGAAGTATTATCCTTAAAAACTTAACCATCAATACGATTGAGCGACGGCACGCAACAAACGAATTACTTAATTATAACAACATCTTTATTGTTCCCATCACACTACCAACTACTTAGGGTTTAAACTAACAGCAATTTTTTCATGTAAATATCTCAATTAATACAAGTTCTAGATAACTTACCTCTCGATTATCTAAATCAGTTGATTTTTCCCATAGCTAGTACATGCGTCACTGTATCATCCTGGGACATTTAATGAGAGAATACTGCCCTATCAAAGTAATAATAGTTTAAACATAAATATTTAATTATATTCAACTATTAACCTTCAAATAGATATTTAGAAGTACTTACGTATCATGCCTGTTGTTTTCTATTAGCTTCTATGATACACACCTTATTGAATAGGAGAATTGAAAGCGTACCAAGTTGAACCATGATTAGTTTCATTACCACAAAATACCATACATGAATTAACTCGATCATAGACAGACGATTACAGAATGATCCAAAACCCGATGTCGGTGAAATAACACCACGATATAGATTAACAGGTATAATAAAACATAATTATGAAGTAAATATCAGATAGAAATAGTCTGAAATGGTCAAAATTAAAGTTTATTTAGATAAATTTTACTTCCGCGGAGTAGCGAATGATGAATAAAGTCAATTGCCGAAGAGCATTCGTAAGGTCTGAGTAGATGATGTCGATTCGTTCGTTAAATTTACCATACATTTTTTAGGTTATGTAGACACAACAACGTGCATCAAATAACAAGGAGTATAGTAAAGTACAGCAAACGAAATGTAAGGTGTGTCTGTTCGCATGATTAGTGTCTACGTCATACTGGTTATGAAAACTTATCAGTAATAATTACTGGATCCAAAAATTTTATACTGATTAGGTGTACAATACAAATATGTTTTTTTTAAATACTCGTAAGTAAATTTCGATGTTAAATACTTTTATTACTTAATATCATGGCTGGAAATGATTGGTTGTCAATAAGTTCTATATCTAAGTTTTTTAAAGACAATACAAAGCAACTAAAAATAGGTGAAATTGAATATAAAGATAATCATGTTCTGAAGTTTATAAGCAATCATAAATTTATAGGCATGGTATCTGGCGAAATATGTTACAGAAAAGTCCTCTAAAGTGACTTTTGTAATTTCGTTTTGGTCAGATGGCAACGTTGATGAACTCTGTAAAAAATTACCCTCAAAATATTCAATACCTAGTGTAAGAAACTTGGTACATAGGATTATAAAAAATGTCTATTTCTTTAGAATAGTGGTTTCAAACTCAAATTACCAACAAGCTATATATATATTTACGTTAAAGGTTCGCAGGCAAACATTTTTTTTTTTTACTCATTTTAATATTAAATCTAAAATAAACAAAATAAATTAAAACAAAATTTTGTAATTTGTAATTTCTACAATCCTACATAATTAATAATAATATTGTTATCTAATAAATGTGACGGATGACGGTGGAATATTGGGGTGGTGTTTGGTCATAATTTATGTAAAACATATTACATAGAAGTAGGTACATGATTTTTAATAATATAGTATGGTAATAATATTTTATGATTGTTTTTATTTCAATTAATAATTATTGTTCTGTATGCGGCAATGGAGGGTATGGGGGCGAAGCCCCTCATAGCTCACATTGACTATATTTATTTGTAGGGCTTCAGCTCCCCCCCCCCCAATATTTTAGACCTAGTTGCGCTAATGATATTTATACAAAAAAACTCAAAAACTATTATGTTTTTCTATACATAATGAGTAATGAGTATTTAAATGTAAATTAACATAAACACATTTGGGGATGCTAAGCACACCCAAGCCCCCCCAAATTGCGCCTATGGTTTTTAATAAGACATTTAGAAAGTGTTCATGGTATTAAATCACCACAAGAATTCATAGAAAAGAGATAATTAATAAAATATATTTTTAATTATCTATTCAAATAAATGTTAATTTTCTTAAATACTTGATGTCCTAAATATTGATCTCGATGTATGCAAATATAAAATAATTAAATTCTGCTCAGATATTATATATGCAATATAGTAATATTATTTAGGCTTGATAAAATCACATCAAATCGCGCTATAGCCGTATGATAATTTATTAATAAACCATTTTCACGGTCAACGACAACTGTACACACACATTCATAACACATAATATTTTTTTACATTATCTATTTGCTTAAATTTGTTTCATGAAGTTTTATGTATATTAATTAACATTAAATTATTTACGTCATAATTTAAAACATTAGTTATTAGCAGGGTGAGACTAGCTTTATAGCTCGGCCCGGGCAAAATAATTTTGAACGGCCTCAATGGAACTTTATAAGTAGGTAGGTACCTGATCAAATTATTGTTTAGCTGAAAATGTATCTTCGTAACTCAAAAAACAATATTCACACAAGTACATTTGAATATTTTCAGATTTAATGTTATACCTTAAATAAATCTAGTTTACGCATAATGTATCTTATCTATAATATTTATTTAATGACCTACCTATTAAGATAAATAATTACATCATAAAAAATGATTTGATTTAAATATGTTCATACATTTAATTTTAACTGAGTTAGAACAGTGGGGTCGGCAACTAATGTCTCTTTTATACGGCCCACAGTTAATTTCAAAACTAGCAAATGTCATTGAATATCATATACATTTTTTATATTTTCTGGCTCTAGAACCATTTTTAATTAGTGAATGTGGCCCAAAGGTCCATTAAGATTGGAAACTAGTAACAGACTTGTTATTGACTGAACGTCAAAACTATTAAAATGTTTTTGAATAAAAGTCTAATAAATCTTATAAAAATTATTACTATCGAAAAACAATTTCGTTAACGCATATCTTGCTTGACAATGTCTACCCATACCATGGTCTTAGAAAATTAATCTTCTAAGACCATAACCCATACCAACATTTTATTTTAATAATTGTTTGAACAAACGCGAACGGTACTTCGTATCATTAACATATTGTACACATCTTTTGTATTCAAGTTTCCTACAATTTTTCTATTTATAAATATTCTGATGATATCATTGTTATCAATTGCTCTTCGCGACATTAAAAATGTTAAATTTTCAAACTCCGAGTTACCTAATCCTGTGTCATCGCATCCATAAGTAATGTCATGTTACAAGACGATATTTTTTATTTTATTTTACGAATAGAAGATAGACGCATTAAATTAAAAACAAAAAAATCTAAGTAATTTTATTTAACCAAAATTACAGCAGCCCACCGGGGCATGCCCCAGTGCCCCGGTGGCCTAGTCCAACCTTGGTTATTAATATTATTTACTAAACGTACCTAAACAGTTGTACTTAATATTAGGCCTAGTTTATCCATAGTCATTACATACGAGAACCGATAGCGCGGACGTGATTATGTAAATTCACGTATTCACGTTATTATATAAATTTACGGATTCACGTGAATAAAATTATAAATACACATGAAATTTTAAGCAACGGATTTTATGAATTAAACCTTAATTTCACGTGAACACGTGAAATAGGGAGCTCTAGTATAGATAAATGCTATTTGTTGACCGTAGTAGTTATCATGTTCATTGATAACAAGGCATATGTTTTGTTATCATGCGTATAAATTTTTGGATGAATTGGAGACGACTCTATTGTAAACGACGACCGAAACTTGGGTAAAATTCTTAGCCCGTACAAATGTTTCAATAGTTCAAGCCCCGTTTATTTTTATATGTTTTACTTACAAAAAAATGTGACTTCGAGTTAAAATTTATTTTACTCAATATCAAATAATCCCCGTTTACCTGGATATAAGAGATAAAAATTGCATGAAAAAAAAATTAAAAATCACGCTTATAACCAAATATACGGGTTTGTAAACAAATTCAAAACTTCAACACGATATAAAACCTTAAGATTTCTTTTAGATCTCACTAACGAAAAATTGTAATGGCTGCAGATGCTTTACGTGTATTAAGGTAATATATTAATGTTATACAATACAACAACCAAAACAACATAGGTACAGTACTTAATCATTTTTTTTGTGATGTTTAGAAAAAGATCTTTGGAAGAATATGATGATGATTATAAGCCATTATCAAAGCGAATGCACAGCATGTATTTAAAGGATGGTCCACTAAATGGTGAAAATCTTTTGGCTGATACTAATGTCTATGGCGTATGTATTTTTATATTAATTGTGACACTGTATTGAAATATCTTTATGGTTCATTTAATGTGTTTGTGAAAATAATGTTAGTTTAAAGAAAAAAAATGTTGGTTAAGTATTGATAATCATTTTCTTCTTAATATTGGTTAAAGCTACTGTTGTAGTTTAAGTTTTAACAAAGAATATTTCAAGGTTAATTCAAAACAATTTTAAACTATAACATTATGTTGCTTAGTTATTTATTTTTTCAAGGAATTTTTCTGTCAAATGTACAAGTTATTTGATCATAATTGATTTACCATTTTCAAATTATAAGTTAGTATTATACAAAATGTATAGCAAGGTGTATATATTCAAAATAAATAATTTTATAAATTGTACTTATATCTTTATTTAAAATTTGAAATTATAGACAACTGATAATATTTTTGTCTTTTAACTTCATAATTATGTAATTAATTCTTATATTAAAAATTATACATTAATTTTGATTTAAATTGAATATAAACTTTCAATTTTTTGTTTTTCAAAAGGTGTAAAAAAATACTTTTAATAATTTTACAGTAATTATAAACAATTTTGTTATTTTGTAATGTGGTTATATTAAGTAGGTATTGATAATATGTTATTACTGGTAAATAATTAACAATTTACTGAGATTAATTTTCAATATATAATAAAAGCAGGCCAGGTGCATTTATTTAAAAATACTAATCATATACTTAAAGATGGATCTAATCTTATTTTGGGGGAGGCCCTTTCAAAAGAACAACCAACTAAAATATACGAAATGTAAATTTTAAATGTATCGAATAAAAATTACTACTTTTAAAAGTGATGATTTAAATTGTAGCACACCATCATGCATTTAAATTACCGTGCTTGGCATAATCATTTTAATTTGTGATTCAAAATATTCTTTAAAACAAATTACCGTTTTGCAGAACCATTAAAAAACATAATAACTTCCTTCAATATTTTGATAGTATTTCTGACAGAAGCTACTTTAAATAAATAAGAATAAGAAATATTTAACACATTATTGAAACATGGAAATTGTACAGTTATTGGACATTCTTTTAAAATAATAATTACGACACATGAAGTCATAAAACAGCATCTATCAGTTCCTATGTCTATACAAAATTTCAAATTTATTTCAATGTCTTTTAAAATATCTAATACAATATGACCAATAGCAAGTTCTGTTAGTTTTGACTCTCCAGGTATAACATTATTCACATTAATGCAGTGGTGTAGCCAAGGGAGGGGTCTCAGGGGTCTATAGTCCTCCCCTCATGGGATGTGTTTATATGCATGTACTATACTAATACACTGTAATTTAAATATTTTATAATTTTAGAACTTTTTTTATAAATTTAGAAATGAAATGTTTACAAATAACGGGTTTTGTCTTTGATACTTAGGCGTATAACTTCTATGTGAATATCATTATCTTTTTAGTAGTTATCATGAAGATTGTTGGCAACTCCTCATCTAACACTATCATTTTACGAGTATAATGACTATAGTTTTTATATTGTTTATATATATAATATTAACAATATTTTATATCAAATATTCAAATTATATATTAAACTTTTCTTTCATACAACATTATCTATCTACCCAATTTTAGTCATGAAGCAGTTGCTTCAATAAAACCAGCATTTTGCCGCTAATAGTTAAAACCAACCACTAACAAGACTTCTTACCAATAATAAATTGTTCTACAATGATATAGACTAATACACCCTAATAACTAAGTTCCAAATAGCACAAAAACATGGATGACATGATAGCTACATGATGACCTTAAAAATAAAATATATAAACTCATTACTGTTTATTTATTCATTGTGAAATATTATCTATGTTTTGATAAAAACCACTATTTTTTTAATAGTTTTAATCTGGTTTTAAATGTTATTATATTTTGCAGAATGCGTCTACATCAGCTCAACATAACCAACAATCAACAACTAGTTATAACTATCCAAATGTAAATAATCAACAAAGTATTAGTGAAGAAGATTCACAACATTTACATTACGATCCAGATCTAACTTCTGATCAAAATCCATACTACTATGAAAGTAACAGATTGTTATTTGATCTCTATGTAGAAAGAGTACACCGTCATGGACAATAATAATTTAGTTCACACTTCAAATTTAAGTTCTTAATCTAAATATTTTAATTTACTGCCAGTTGTCTATTTAGGCATCACCATATACTTTGTGAATAAGTCAGTTGCTTTGGCTATATTTTAAACTGAAATTAATGTTAATTATTTATGATAATTGTTTTATAAGATTTAAATTATTTAGAAATGAACATTTAGTTTTAAGAAATTGTTGACCCAATGTTTCCTATTTAGCCATTTTTAGGTTGAACAATTAATATCTCAACTTTAAGAAACATAATAGTGTTTTATACATCAGCAAGTAAATGCTGATTGCTAATACGTAAAATGTTATTACTCTATATAAATCAATTTAGGAATTAAAATAGTTTACTTAGTCCACTAAGTTAATTGCAATTTGATTTTGTATTCTTCATTATTTGTATTCATTCTCAGGGGCCAATTATTTAATTCAAAATTGTATTGTTGTGTGATTCATTAATATTAAGTTAATGTTTGATTTTTTTTTTCGTTGCTCATTTTTTCTTTATTTAAAAAACATATACATTTTTTTTTTGCACATTTCTCATAATTATGAATTATTTAAATATATTTAAATCCATTATAATCAACCATGTTTATTAAAGTACATTACACAATAATTTATAACCGTATGTTGATTTACATATTTTGTTTCATCAAATAATTAAGAAAAATATCAATTTTTAAATATCTAATACATATTAAATAATATTACAGTAATGAAAATTCCAGATTTAAATATTAAATATATATATATATATATATATATTATTTTTATTTTCATATAAGTTTATAAATAGTGTTGCTAAATTTTAAAATTTTAAAAATGTGTACAATCACAGATATTAATTACAAGTAATACATTTCAAACAAGATTACAAGAAAAATAAATAACATTTATATCATAAGCATTTGAGTGAAATTTATTATTAACTTACACTGAATATACATTAATATTTTATGAAATTAATAAAGAATATGTTAAAGTCTATAGCTAAAGTACTTTGTTAAAAGATTGTTAATATTATTGATCTGATAAAAAATATGCTTGAAAATCATGTATGACAAATTGAAGAGATTAAATATACATACATATATTCTAATTAGTGTTTCCATTATTTTGACTCTGAATAAAAGTTGTGATATGACTAGTATAATTTCACAATGTATTATTGATGCAAACTATATAGAGACATAAATGGATTAATGTAGTGTAGTTATTAAACATATAATTAATACATTTAAAATACCACTAATACCATTGATTATAGAATATAATATTAGTTTAATAGGTTATAACCAATGATAGTATCTATGATGATTATTTTAATTCTACAGGTTATAATCTAAACCTCAAAAAATTATTTTTATTCCTGGAAAAAATAATTTAATCTTACTTGGATTGTAAGAAAATATTTGTGGTCTTGTACTTCCTTAAAAACCTTAAATTTTGTTATAATTTATGTAAACGCAAACAATTTATTGTTAAAGACAATTTGTAATTTTAATGTAATTAAAATTAATTGTAATTTTAGAAGAAGAAAAAACATGTAATGGTGTATTAAATTAAAAAAATTTTCTATTTTTAAAATTATGAATGTTTTTATATTTTCACTTACACATTGATTTATTCCACTAAGTAAAACATAGAGGCTATTATAAACTATTTTATAAATTATTATTTTTAACAGAAAATAATTAAAATTGAAAATTACCTACATATGTAATGACTTGCAAAATACGTATGCATGTGAAAAGACTTATGAATAAGTATATACTGCATAGTATTAAGTTAGGTATTATAAGTTATAAATAATAATTCATAATAAAGTTCAAACATTGAAAAATAAATAGAAAAGGCCATAGAGTAGGAGCGCAATTTCAATTAAAAAACAGGGGCTGCTGGAACCCTTCTATTTTTTTCATGTTTCTTAATTGTCATAAATGTTCGCAACCTGTACAATTCAATATTTTTTAAATATTTTATAAATATTTGAATATTTCTAAATTTAAATTGTTCACTTTGATTTTATATTTTTATTACACGTATAAATTGTTATAAATGTTTCACTACATATTTAGTTTTGGATTTTAAATGAAGCAAAGGATCTGAAGATTTTACAATGATGCTTATTTTTTTTTTTATGTTAACACTTTTTCGGATAGAAATACTGGTCCAAAATTCTCATTAGATTTTCCTGACACGAGAAAAGACTGCCAAAAAATGGTAAAAGTGCGCTGTAAATGATACTTTCACTTTTCAGATTTTAATAATTAAGTCAAAAGTAAACTGGCTAGAAACTTGAAACTATTACTATATATCAAAGACATATTTTATCATATTTGACAACATTTTTAAAAATTTAAGTATAGAAATTTAATAATTCCTACCTTTTTAAAAGTTTTTATGTAATAAAATTTTTAATTTTGAATACTAGAACTTGAAAATGTAATATAACCTTACTCATATACTTACCTTACAATACTGAACAATTTTAAAAAAACTTTTATTAGGATTTTATTTTAAAAGTGTTTAAGTAAATTATTACCTTTATGATTTTTACGGAATTTACCTACGTATTTACATTAATTGTAATCATTAAATGTTTATTAAAAGAAAAATTGTTCATTCTAATCATAATGAAATTTTGAATATAGATAAAACAACATATTTTAAATATTTGGTTAAAAACAATTTCTTCTTCGTCAAACAAGAAAACTTAAAACAGATTGATATAGCCTGTATAACAGTATATAATGAAAGAAACAATAGATTGTAAAATATACAAATTTTAAAGTAGTATAACTTAAAAACTAATGATTTCCTAACTTTTTTTTTTCACTATAATTTTTAAAATGTTGATTTACCTAGGGTCCGGGAAAAAAAATTGCAAAAAAAAAGGATGTCTAGTAAAATAGAAAAGTTCCAAAACGTTTAAGTACACTAATACTATCATTAATACTAAAATAGGTTAAGCATTTTTGGAAGGGGTTAAACTCTCAATCCTCTAAAGTACGTTATTGAGTGAGGTGGGTTGAAAGTTGTAAATTCGGTGGCTATAATCCAGATCATACATTTTGTTCGATGCCACTGGGCTAAACCGACCCCGTTTAAGACCTAAGTTTTTTAATTATACCTAGTTATATAATGTATATAATATTTATTAAATAAAACAATTATATTATATACCTAATAAATAAATAAATGGGATGGTAAAAATAAATTTTTTTTTACTATTCCATTTATTTTGTTTAAATATTATTAATTTTTTTTTCTATTTAAGTATTTTGTATTATTGGACATTGTATTCGTAGGGGTAAAAAAAATAAATTATGTTCTTTGCATTAGCCGTCGAGGGATCCGTTCACTTACCAGTTATATCGTTGATAATTTAACGGATGTTTTTCCTTATCAACGCACTGTGCAGTACGTTATCATTTTTTTGTAATCAGCACCCAGAAGATTTAATAGTGGGTATACGAATTATTCTCATTTGTTGTGTTATGTTCTTTTTTTGATTATAAATACATTTTCAATCTATTTTCCTCGAAGATTGTCCTTTTCACCTCGCATCCCTCCACAAGCCCAGTGGGTTCTTTAGCCGTGTCAAAAAACAGGTGAGCTAATGTGCACGACATTTTTTAGTCATATGTACGTATGCTATTTGTTATTTATTTTGTCTTCATTCGTTGATATCCATTGTTAAGGAATTTAGAACACTTCACGACGCTGAGGATGGATGATCACGTATATGACACGAATTTTACTGAAGAAATCAGCAACAAAATGCAAGTGCCTAAAAGCATTAGGGTGAATGGTGATGTTTCCGATTACCGGCCAACGAGTTTTTATGCCGATGATAACAGTCGCTTTGGTGACAATTTCGATATGAGAGTTCCAGAAAAAATTGTACTCATGGGTAAAAATAACGATATTGCCTTCATTACATTCTTCTCTAATTATTTTTTTACAAAATTTGTTATGTTGTAAAAACAACTGCAATGTATAATACTCAGTTTTTTGTTACAATTTATTTAATTTGTTTCTTCATAACTATTAGTAGGTACGTAATAAAAAATGTTTCTTTGTGTTTGTAGTTTTATAGAAATTCTTTTGTAGTTGTTCTTTTTTTATTTTATTTTATAGCATTACTAATATATTTTTAGGAGCATATTATAAAAAAATTAAAAACAAGTTGTATTGAGGAGTTTATACTTTACATCGATACAAAAACACATTTTAAAGTATACTAATATGTGAATTTGTATATACATCTATACTAAATAATAAATATATTTTTTAGTTAAATCTTTATTGATTCTTCTAAAATTAATTCAATTTTATGTCATTTAAAAAAATTAGTTATTTTTTTACTTTTTTTTATTAAGGTTACTTTAGATTACTTTTAGTACATTTAAAACTATTTTGTAATTTTAAAATTTTTATAATTTAATGTTTACTATTCCTCAGTAGTATGAATACATTTGATATATATATATATATATATATATATATATATATATAGATTGATTCAGAATATGTATGAAGGGCCGAGAACTAGTGTAAAAAGTTTATGTGGAACAACAGTAGATTTTAATGTTGGAATCGGTGTGTATCAATGGTCGACTTAAAGCCCTTATTACTTCTCTGTGGTAATGGAAGAAGTTATGAAAGACATACAAGGTGAGATACCATAGTATATGTTATTTGCTGATGATATAGTTTTGGTAGGAAAATATCTGGAAGAACTTAATTATAGGTTGGATGAGTGGAGATTAGCCCTTGAAGGAAAGGGATTGAGAATTAGTAGAAATAAAATATTATATAGAGTATAATAGAGTGTGTAGAGTATGATATTGCCTTTAAATATTATGGATTATTTGTAAAAAAAGACGTGGGCTTTGGCATGGATGTAAAACAGGATTAAGTGTGGTTGGATGAAATTGAGAGAAGTATCAGCCGTCTCATGTGAAGAGAAAATTCCAATGAGTCTGAAAGGTAAATTTTACAGGAAGGTAATGAGACCAACTATGCTATATGGTTCAGGGTGTTGGGTGGTTGACAGGAGAATAGAACAGAGTATGAGTGTTGCAAAAATCAGAATGCTTTGATAGATGAGTGAAGTGACACGAGAAGATAGAATAAGTAACGAATATGTGAATGGTATAGATGGTAAGTATTAATGTTTCGTCAATAGTGGACAAAATGAGAAAAAATAGACTGAGATGGTTTGGGAATGTTCTGAGACGAAAGGAAACGAAAACAGTAAGATTGGTATGAAAATGAACAAAGTGAAGGAAAAAGAAGAAGAGGAAAACCAAAAAAGAGATGAATATATATGATTGAGAATTATATGAAATCTGTTAGTGTGGAAGTAGGGGATGTAGAAAATCGAGACAAGTGGTGGTTTAGAACAAAGGTGGCCGACTTTAAATAGTTGAGAGAAAGGCGAAGAAGAAGATTTAATGTTTACTAGTTGTTTACTAATGTTAAACTACATATAGTCAATTTTGTAATTATAAAAATGAAAATAAATTTATTTTTATTAAGTATGAAGAATATTTTGAAAACTTGTTTTGTATAATCTAATAAATAATTGTAGTATTCATTTTATATTTTAGGATTTGAGATAAAAATATAGTTATTAAATTGATGTTTTAATTTTGATGATTATTTTTTAAAATAAATATCAATGTTGTACAATAAAAATAAAAATAATATTACTAATAATAATTGATTTATAGGTAATAATCAGCACAAAGGATCATCATCAAAGCCCAGAGAGTTTGCGATTGACGATTTAATTATTCCTCAGCCACCTCCAGAAGAACTTATACGTGTTCAAGTAACAATATATTTATAATACTTAGAAAAATAATAGCTTTAATTTATCAAATACATATGTTGTAGACTCCACCACAAAAAATTACAATGTCAAGACACTACTTTCCATCTGTCCTAGATGACTTTGAAAAACAATCTGTAGTGTCTGAGGAAAACTTGTCAGCTGATTTAAATAATGTTGAAGCCGTGACAAAAACGGTGAAGCCTACAACAAATCACAAGTATTACCTATATATAATGTTATAGTTGAGATAAAATGATATAGAGAAAGCTATACCACCATTTATTGTCTCAATCTCTAACAGACAATATTGAAAACTTTTTTTTCCAATACTACGGGCTTAAGGATATATTAAGATTAAAATACTGGTTACCTATTTAAGTAAAGATAATTTATTTTTAATTTTATATATTTCAGCTTTTTATTTCAAAACTAAATTTTTATTGAAATATATAAACATAAAATAATCAAAGTATTCTATTCTAAATTGTATTTTAGAATACAAATATTAATATACTAGGAACAATAAAAAAATAAATTTTCTTTTGTATTAATATACAGTATTACTATTGATTTTATAATATATTATAAAATCAATGGTACTACTAAAAATTGTTGGATGCACCAAACTTCTGATGTTAAAGAGACCTGATGCACAATGTTTTTTAAAATATTTTGAATTAATAGTTTAGAAATATACTTGAATTAAATTTTAATTTCATGTATCTGTTATTTACAGTTTATTTTATTGTATGTGTGAGGTATATGAATATTATGTTACACTTATGAATTATTTATGAGTATGATAAACAATGACTTCTAACAAATTAATTTTTTTATTAAATCAAGTAATAACTAAGTATGAGATTCTGATACAAATAATTTTTTTTCTAAGTGATGTAAAACATTCTTTTTTAAGCACAATATTTGCTTTATATATTAATACATTTTAAGCACTTTTATTTTGTAGTTTTTATTTTAAAGAATTATTTGTTATAATTATGAATTCTTTTAACTTTTAACAATATTCTACTAGCAGTGATGTACAAATGGGGGAGGTATAGGACTAAAAAGGATTGAAAATCTAGCTTTTGATCCAAAATTGGAATTTATGTCTTTTGTTATAAGAAAATGTAGTCTAAGACTGTGGCATATAAAATTTATTTTCTATATTGTCTGTTAATATTTTTTTGTGTTAGGAATTATATAATAGTTTATAAGTTTTAGTGACATCCAAAATGTTAACCTTAACAATAAACATATTTGAAAAACTGTTTTTTTGTATATTAATATTCCATTTTTGGTTTTGTTTTTCTAGTGCGAGCTTTTTCAATACTAGTGTTGGTGAACCAATGACAATGTCTGAAGAAGTAGCTCACTTGCGTCAGCAGATGGGTCGTGTATCGCGAAGAGTTATTGAACTTGAACATACAGTTTCTCTTCCTTTCTATATTAGGGAGAAAAGATTAATTTTCACATTAGTATGTGGCTATTTGGTTTTAAAATTTACTTCGTGGTTGACCAAGCGTTAGTAGCATTTATTTCACAACACATATACTTATAATTGCCATACTGATTTTATGTGTTATTTTTATTATTTATACATTATTATTAATGCATACTCAAATATTTTTAAATATTTGTGTTTTTTAAATCTATTGGATCTTTTTAAGTATATTACTGTTTATGCCCAATGTACGAAATGCTATAGAAGTTTTTTAACAATTCAGTACTATGCATGTTACATTTTCTAACATGTTGAAGAGAATGAAAAAAAAATTGATTTAATGATGTTGGTCATATTAATCAAAGATACATTTTCCTGCTTTTAATTATTTGTAGCCATTCTCATAATTATTGATGCATATGTAATTATAATATACACTTATAAATGAGTAAATATATTAATATCAAATACATATAAATATATTTTATTACATATATGTAATTATAAGTATTTGATATAAAAAAAAAAAAAAATAATGACAACAATGTCAAATGAAGATATTTTAGTGTATAAATACAAATCATAATTAGTCTGTATATTTTTGATTTGTATATATTAAATAAAAAAATTATTGCATTGTTATTGAGTGGTTTTTTGATATGTGCGAATATGAGTTGCCTTATTTTTGTTGCTATATGATTTAATATTTTATAACTTATCTTGACGAACACAATTTTTCCATATTATAATTTATTGAAAATAAAACTATTCAAATATGAATATTTAATTATTATAGTTTCAGTGGTCGTTGATGAAGATGCTAATGTGTCATATGGTAGTAAAAAGATATAATCTTACATTTTCTATGTACCAATTTATGTGTATGGTATGTATACCAACCTCTTCAATTGAAAATTATTCTAAATATTTTGTACTTCAAATTTTCAATGAAAAGATAGTTAGATGAGCAACTGTTACAATTTGAATGTAAAATACAATATATGTATGATCTTGACAATTTGATAGTCATTAATGCAGTGGATGGAGCAATATAACTTCCATTAATCCTATTGTTATGTATTTGGAATACATATAGGTCCCTTGTGGTCCATTATAAATAATGTATGAAAATTGTATAAGCTTGAGATGCATTAATATTACTTGTGATGTATATTTTGTATTTTTTCATGTACATTTTCTGCTGTATGATATAACTATTAATGTTGACACTTTAGATATAGATCTAGTATATGTATAATTTTTCTAATTTATAACATGTCAATGGCTTAATAAAAGCATTATTTTGATTATCTTCCGGCATTGAAATAGCTAAACTCTAGTCTACCAATTGCATAAGTTGTCCTCCCACACAAATGACGCCATTTCTCAAGCACCCCATACAATTATAATTATAATTATATAAATTATAATTAATTAAAAAATTATTTATTATCACAATATATTTTTAAGATCTTGATTTCACCCATTGCAAATTAATATATTAACATATGTTGCATTTGTGCAACTAGTTATAAAATATTAGGGTGCCTGAAGCCCCACTTATAAATTTAGCCAATATGAGCCATAATATTATTACCATACTATACTTGTACGCGAAACCTCAATGGTCGAACAGAGGTATTCCGACGGCCTCGCCAACCCGAAATAAGCTCGACTATAACGTCAGTCAAAAAAAGGGGGGTGAGGGATAGAGGTAACCCAGATTTAGTATATACCATAAATAATCGTACCTTTAACTTATATTAAAATAAATAACTTATGATAATAATATACAATTAACGGGCGCCCGGATTTTAAAATACTCATGAGAATATAAATTAATAATAATAATAATAATAACAAAAGGTATAATAATGATATTGATAAAAAAAAATGACAATGATTATAATAATAAATTCTGAACAATAAAATAATCCAGACCACGCTACGCGTCACCGGTTGCAATCGTGAATACCTCGAACGGTCTTGGGGTCTGTGTGGTTGCGTCCACGCGACCGTGCACATAGCACGTGCGACACCCACCATGACCGGCAGATGTCGAAGACTCCGGAACCGCACACTGGACGCGATCAATCCCGACGACAGTGACACTACCGATCATCCTGAATGGCGAATGTGGATAGTACAAGTCACGCGCACGAAATGGTTGAACACGGCCCAATCGAACACTTGTGACAAAAACGTGGGAGACGGTACGGTGTTTGCACAGTTACGCGGTGATAGTCTTTAACAGGAAGAAAACAAACACGCACAAAATAAAGGTCGGCCCAGACGATCTACACAACCCGCTTGCTTGGTTGCAGGTGCCGTCTCCGAGAGTGATTCCAGCGCGATGAAGTGCGCCGACGGAAAATTCGAGAAAATTCCGTTATCGGGGGGAACCGGTTGTCGTGGCCAGATACAAATATAATAACTCGTTCGAACAAAACTAATAATGAATGATGTACTTGTACATAAAATATAACATGGATTATAATTTACAGATTAAGAAAATGTATTATATTCTTCTATTCTTATTGTTAGAAAATATTAAAACAGTATCACCGTCTATGACATTGATTAAATCTCTATGCGTAATAATGTTAAATTTGAAAAATGGTCTTGTGATATTGTTGAACATAGTCAATTTCTTACCCACCGCGTAGCAGAGAATTTCATAGTATAATTATTTCACATTTTAAGCTATGCATGGATGTTTATAATAAAATGTAGGAGAAAAAACAATTTTTATTGTCCATCGAGTAGCCACTTGCATTATAAGGGGACCAACGATTCACTTAGCCAACTTACCCGTTAGTTGTGTTACTGGATCCACTTATCCTCATCCTTCACAGCTACTTCACTGTAATAGATTCTATCGCATTGGCGGGAAACGAAACCAGCATGACGGTAATTTTTTTACGGTTAACAACAGTTATACTATCGATAAAGATTTTTATGGTGCAAATCCAAAAATAAAACATGAAAAATAAGTATAGGTATTTCAATATATTTTTGGAAACAAAAGTCTGTAAAATGTACGAGGTGTTTGAATACGTATATATGTAACAATATGTTTATAACTCAAAGGCGGTCGTCCCACAACATAATTAATAATAATAATGTAAAACGTATGGGTACTGTGTATAAAATAAAAAACTGTTTTTTTTCTTCTTATTCTTAAATCGCTTGCAAATAATTCTGTGCTCTGAAAATGTCGTATACGTTCGTTTTAACAGTATAGGTAGGGTCCACAAGTGAAGAGGATGGCGGCGTAAACAGCGCGTCGAAGCTGCAGGAGTCGTTGGAATCGTGGAGCCCTGCAGTACGTTGCACGTATATACGACACATGTAGCCAAGAGATTAATTGCAGTGTACTCAACTAAATAATACGGTTCGTTACGGTTACCGAGTAATATCGGTTGAAGTCGATCCTCATCGCTAGTGTTCCCAGACCTATCGTGGTCCCACTGTTCGCCAGTCTCGACAGTAAAGCACCGAGTTCCGCCTAAAAGAATAGACCGAAGAAATAAAGAAAAATCATGTCAAATTATTTTATCGCAACGAGAACCTATTTACCTAAACTTGGGTGTAAGCATATTTAGTAGTCATAAATATACTGCGCTGGAGGATTTTATTTTTTATACGCGCACAAAGATCTACATTATGCCACCGTATACGAGAGTACCCGCCACTGCAGAATAGAACATTATACATCAACACGAGTACAGAATACTATACCAACGGGGTGGCAAACCATTTTTGGGTCAAGTGCCAAATTTTTTCAACCAAATTTTTGAAAATCGTTCACGTGCCCAAAGGGAATGATATTTTATATTAATTAATTAATTAATTATATTAAATCAATCATTATTTTATTATATAAAAATTAAATTACAGATTTATTACATTAGTTTTTTTTAGATAGGTACATATTTTTTTGAAATTAGGTACATATTTTTTAATAAAAGATGTTTTATTAAAAATCCTTAAATTTGGTGTTATAAATTTAATTATTTTATGCTGTTTCTTATATAGATAAAGTAGATAAAGTTTTGATGTTAGGAATGTACTTTGTCATTTTTAGTGTAACGCAAGCACCAATTATTTCTTCGATCAAAGCATTTCTTTTCTTAGATTTAATTAAATTCGTTATGGAGATAAAACTTTCACAAGCATAAGAGAACGAAAAAATTGAAAATATAAGGAATACTATCATTTTTAAATTGTATATAATTTGTTTCTTCGAATTTTCCATAATTAAGATTTTATAAATAACATAGATGTTTTTATGTAAAATTTTTAATAATTTGAATTTTTTGGCGAATATTGAAATTTGGTCAACACCAGTGACGTATTTATGGGGGGGGAGGTTTCTTATTTCTCTGATGGTGTAAAGGCAGTCAAGAAGTCATCTAGTGTTCAAGTAATTATTGTCGTAATAGTGTGCTTCCTCCATCCCTTCCCCTCAAAAATCAAATACATGATTGGCTCCTTCCGAAATGAAAAATCTATGTACGCCACTGGTCAATACGAGTGCCATAAGTTAGCCACCTTTGCTATATAATATATTTGCATACACACTTTGTACTATACAGTATATTATTTGTAGGGATGACTTATACATTCATGGTACGGCGATTTTATACATGAACGAAAATAAAACGTGCCTAAGAATGGCCAGTCTTTGATACACGCTACACACAATGACCCGGACTTAAAGCGGGGAAGAAGAGGATTCAGTTCCTTAACAGTTATACCTTTCAGAGCATTTAAAAACATCCCCTTAAAATTTTTCAAAAAAGTTCATCACGAATATATTTTCAAAAAGCATAGGAAATTAGATTGTTTCTTCATAATTACACATACAAATTATTGGGGTTTAATAAAACTAAATCTAACTTCTAAGTTTTTTGGTAATATTTTATATTTATGATATTTATATTTAAGAAAAAACCTAGTAGTATATAGTTATATATTATGGTTATTATATAATAAATATTATAGTGTAGTTTCTAGTTATATTATGATTGGATTACCTACTACTAAATTATACGAATATCTATACAATTTATAATAGTTATAACTACACTTTTGCAGTAATCCAAATATATTATAAATAATTATGTTCTTTAAAGAGTTTAAGGTTTTTTGGAAGTGATATTGACCTTACAGATTTTATTAAAAAATGTACTTCCTCTCTGAAGCAAATTCCTAATCATGCCACAAATACATTTACGCAGGGATGGCTAACTCAAAGTAACTAGAGCGTCAATTTTTAGTACTGTAAAATCTGGTGGGCTATAGAAAAGAAATCAAAAAATTAAAAAAAAGTTATTAAAATTGATCATTAGCATTTATTTAAATAATTTAATTTTACGACTGAACCAATACTATAGTAATAACACCTACAGCTATGTTATGCCGATATTGATATATATATATTATTATTAGACATTAAACTTAAACGATTTAGCTGGAGTTCAATGCTAGAGAAATAAAATATCTACATTTTACAATTAACGTGATAAAATGAAATAGTGATAAACGTTAAAATGTTATGAAGTGATTTGAAAATGTAACACAGTCCAGATAAAAAAAAGTACGCTTTTATAGTAGTATATAGTAGTATTAATAGTACGCTAAACCATGGACCGTCCATCTTTGCCTTTGTATATAAATGAAACTAATTAATAAATATATCAAGAATACAATTTTTTAGTGATATAGGACTATACTTCTAGTTAATTTGTCCTATTTTTCGCTTACACATACATTAAATTTGATTTATTTATTTATTTTTCTTAAATGTTTTAATACATAAATATTATTATTTAATAAATTAAAATTTTTTAAATTGTTAACAGAAAAAAAATGAAAACATTTTTTAAAGAGCTTATTTTTTTCTTTTTTTATACTTTTATATTTATAGCGCTTTCCTATTTTATGATTTTTCCAATCATAAAATAACACCTATTCTAAAATATGTTTTAGTACTATAAAATCAAAGCCCTGTTAAAAATATTATAAGTGTGTGTGTGTGTGTGTGTGTGTATGCTTAAGCACGAGATTTAAAAATAACTTTTACCAATCTGTCCCAGTTTTAACAATACAGATATTCCGCATTAATTATGATGCTCTATTTTTTCCGCTAATTTAATCAATTTGGGGTTTATTGTATACGTATATAGGTATTGTAAAGTCCAATGTATTAGCGCGTAAATCAATTTCTAATGGTCAGTATTTCATTGTAATTATTTAAAGTTTCGCTTAGCTTTACAACTATCTAACAATTAATTATATTTCATTATTTTATGACGCCTACTATTCTCACCAAAAATATTGAGTGCCGTTTGCATCATACCTGCCAACAAATTCGACATAATTGGAAACTATTCTACCCCAAAATAAATGGTGACAATTATTTCTTTAATTATTTTAACCATCTGGGGTTATTAACCATTACCAATATACCAATATAATTGAATTAAATATAATTTATAGGTACTTTAGTATGGTCCATAGGTTTCGATTGTTTCAAAACTGTAAGCTTAAAGATGTCATTCAGATATTTTTTTATCCAAGAAAAATTATCATGAGTATATTTCCGTAGGATAAACTAGTTTGTTAACGTTTTAAAAATAATATTTTTAAAATATTAAAATTCAGGATTCTAATTATTATATCTGTTAAATAATTTTTAATGCTAACAAATCGTAGTCTCGTAAAACCTGTATTTAAATTAATTTTTTTACCTAAAGTCAAAAAACATAATTTTCCCATAAATTTAACAATTTTTTTTCCAGATTCTTATTCACGAAAATTTTTTTTGTAGCCGTTACGATGAAGTATACATTTTATAATACAAAAAAATTATATAGGTGATTTAGTTTACATAGTCGTGCACTGTTGCCACAGTCTGAACATGTAAATACGAGTAGACATATTAAAACTATCAATTCGACATTTGTAAAACCATCTGTCGCATGTATTTTAAACGGATTATGAATATTGAACTATTATAATTGGTGTGAATCGTACGTAATAGTTGTTTGAAAATAGCTGAGTACATTTTAAACACGTACCTGTAGTAATCAATAGCACAATCGCTTTTGGATTATCCATATGATGATTTGTACTAACGGCCCCCGTGAGTGATTCAATTCGGAATAATAAATAGAAGTCAACGAAACGTAAATATTTGACAACAAATAATAATGCAACAGCGTAAATTGTTGAACATTCGTCGCGATTCTTATAACCGTACCACGCATATATTATTTATAAAAAATATGAGTACCTATTAAACTGGGGGAGGTGTCAAATGATTTACTACAATTGTTTTGAATTATTTCGAACAGATTGCATAGTAAAGTATATGGTTTGTGTTGTACATTGATATGTTGTAGTCAGTGGTCGAAATTGCTCAAGATAAGTAGAGGGATGCCTTACAATTCAAATGTCCTGATATCATCATAACATTCTTCACACCTTGTGTAGGTACCTATGATATATATTTTTTTTTTTTATAGTTCACATAAGGTATATTATCTTAGTCCGTGGCTCTGAATACGGGTATAATACGGGTTGCGAAACGGATTATACCAAACAACATGATGAGCCGGGCGCCTGGACTTGAATGTTAAAAACAATTATTTTCACCGAAAAAAAAAAATTTTTTCATGTATAAATATAAAAATGATAATAAGTATATCATTTTAAAATACAAGTCTTAGGAGGAATGCATTATTCTAGACAAAACAAGTAGAGGGATGAAAACTGTAAATACAAAAAAGTAGAGGGATTCCATCCCTCCGTATCCCCCTCGCTTCGAGCACTGGTTGTAGTTCTTTATCAAGCGTACTGAACGAAAACAATACGGGGTTAGCAAACTGAAGTGAAAAAAAATATACATATACAACACTGTGTTTCTTTTTTCGATAAACCAACTACCAGGTTTCAAAATAGTGTTGTTAAAATGAGTAATGGGATAAAAAAAAAATAATTTTTGGTAAATTGATTCTAAAATATTACAAAAACCTAGAGATTAGTCCACATGATTAGCTAATTAGATGTATCCGCAGACATGTAGTTGCAATATATTTAACGGTTGCCCTACTATTATAAATTTTTCAAAATTAAAAAGATCAATGAAGAACTTTTATAATTAATTTTTTTGGATTTATGTTGTTAGATAAATATTTTTAATTTAGCGGATTCAGTATTAGTTGGTTTGGAACTTGGCTCGCTATACACATGGGCGCAACCAGTGACACATTTAGACATTTTGCGCCCAGGTGCAAAAAAAAAAAAATGGTGTCCTTCTAAGGGGCCTACCCACGGAAAATATAGAAGATAGATCCTCGTGAACTTTTTAGATATTCTAAAATCAATGCTATTTTTGTGTAGTAGGCACGCCACCGTACGCCGAACGCGATGAACTTATACGCCGTATTATTATAAAAAACTTATGTTTATTGACATTATCCAAGAAAATTGGGAACTAATATTAAGTATATTAATAATAATCTGGATCACTGATAGCTATATTGCTATAAATATATTAGTTCATAGTTGTTTGATTCCAAATAGGATAATACATTAACATTAATTTATGATACTGTTATTAAAAACAAAAAAAAAATAATAATTTCAAAATAATTTTAAAAGTTCAATAATTCACAAGTGAGCAAAATCCCGACCACAACATTTTGGTGCCCCAAAAAACTGTCGTCCGGGGTAGTTGTAGAGAGTGCCCCCCCTAAATGCGGCCCTGGGCGTAACTAGAGCTCAAATATTGGGGGTGCTGAACTTTCTGAAAATAAAATTATGTTTAACTGTAATTACTATAGATTATATAGATCTGAAAAAAAACAGAAATGCTACACTTGAACTAAGGGATGCTAAAAACTCTATTGCGTCCCTCTACTAGTTGCTATAGAATAGTTTAAATCACTTAAACTCAATTTAGTGATTAATGATACGCATCATGCACATACAGTGCACGACAAAAAGATAAAGGCACAATATTTAACCAAATAGAATTGTATACATGACGTGAAACTAGTTATTATTATACAAAGATAATTAATATATTCTATGTACTGATAAATTTCGGGAAAAACCAAAATGATAGTAATTTAATCTTATTTTTTTAATTACAAGCTAATAAAAAAAGATTTATTGATGAATTTATTAGATTTTGTCGCGACAAAATTATAAAGGCAGTCAGTTTCGTTACGTATTTAGCAATTATATGATCAAATTATCCTTATTTTATACTTCTGCTATACTTAATACAATCTAACATTATATACTGTATTAGCATAATTTGTATAATATTGTAATTAATTATTAAATAATTTACTATGGGAAGAGCAAAACCATTATCAAATGAAAAACGAGGAAAAATTACAGCATTTAAGGAATGTGGTCTTTCAAATCGTGAAATATCGCGTAGACTAAATAGGAGTTCCACGGTTATAGATAATTTTATAAAAATTGGTCAAAATTACAATTTCAAGAAGTCTACAGGTCGACCGAAAGTATTAACTGATCGTGAAAAAAGAGCAATTTTAAGAGTTGCATCAAATTCTGCTTTATCTGCACGTTGTATTCTTGATCAATGTGGTGTGAAAACTGGTATTCGTAACGTACAAAGACTAATAAAACGCACGCTTACACTCATTCGAAAAAAATTATTACGAAAACCACCATTAAACAAACTTAATAAAAATGTAAGATTGAACTTTTCAAGAAACAAAATGAATTGGTCAAAAAAATGGAGACAAATAATTTTTTCAGATGAAAAAAAATTTAATTTGGATGAACCTGATGGATTTTCGTATTACTATCACGATTTAAGAAAAGATGAACGTATAATGTTAAGACGTCAAATGGAAGGAGGATCTGTAATGATTTGGTATGCAATTGGTTATAAAGGACGAAGTAGAGTTGTTTTTTTAGATGGTAGAATAAATGCTATGAAGTATAAAGATCTCCTTAATACCCAAAAGTCATGTTTTAGGAAAATAGCAGGAAGAAATTTTATATTTCAACAGGATATTGCGCCAATCCATTTGGCTCGAATCATAAAATTATGCTTTGAAACAAATTCTATACCAATATTAGATTGGCCTGTACGATTTCCGGGTCTAAATATCATTGAAAATGTTTGGGGATTACTTACCAAAGAAGTTTATAAAGATGCCAAACAATATACTTCAGTCTGTGAGTTGAAAAAATCAATTTTAGAAGCTTGGACACTAATTTCCCATGATGTTATAAAAAAGTTGTATGATACAATTCCAAATAGAATTTTTGACACTATTCGTGCTAATGGAGGTTTCACTAAATATTAATATATTAAAATAGATATAAATATTAATAAATATAATAAATGTTGTTATATCGATTAGTTTGTTAATATAAATATTTGCCTTTATAATTTTGTCACGAAAATTTCTATTAACATTTTTTTATTAATATTATTATAATTACACAGAACTTTAAAATGTATAATAAAATTAAAATAATATATGAGGAACTACTGATTAAATCACTTAATTATAATTACCATAATAATAACATAATTTGTACACACTTTTGTGGTATATAGTATATTATAACTAAATATATTCGGGTGCTTTCATCTTTTTGTCGCGCACTGTACATATGTATAGGTTTGGGAACCAATTTAATATCTGATGTGATAATAATAATACCCATTTTATCACCTCGTATGATTTTTTTATCGCTCCGAGATCAGCCATAAACTTGTTTATCAGTTGGTCTTGTTCACTATACGATAAGGTGCTGGTGTGGGTCTTCAGTTCTGAATTGGACGACGACAGTCCTTGCATATCATTCACGAAACACTCGAAGACGTCGGCGAATATTTCGACGATTTTTTCCAACCATATGACGAAATTACATAGAGACTGAAAACCATAATGAATATTATACTTTTATGCCACAAGCATTCGACAGTCATAAATAAATGTTATGGTATTTATCAATTTAAGACGAAGGTTGTTGATTTAACATAATCGTACATCCAGTAACGCAACAACCGGGGTGGATGACATTGTCTAACATCAGGGCCCCAAAGCTCAAAAAGGGCCTCATTGTAGACGTTAGCTTGTAAGGTACTTTTAACGCAGAATAATTGATTAGCGTATTAAATTATAAGTAGGTAGTCTTTATTGAAAAAAAAAAAATAATTTGCCAACGCTTAAATAGTTATAGGGCTCCAAACTTATTTTATCATTGGGGCCTCAAGATCCTAGTTGCGCCCAGGCGTATATCGACTAATATGAAATTATGTGGACTAGCAAATCTTCACATAGATCGAGAAATACAAATTACAGAATCCGAAATATATCAGTTCTTTCCGGGAAGGGAAACTTAAATTTTAAACTAATACGTCATATTTAGTTATAAATATTACTGTAAAATATAAAAGTAAAGAAAATATGAAAAATTTAAGAGCCCTCCCCCCCCCTCAAACAAAAATCCTTGAAAGTGGGTAATTGTTTTTAAACCGTGTTTTTGTATTTATTAGTTTAAATCATAAAATTAGTTTTCTCAACAGATAAATAAAAACTTTTTTATAAATATACAAAAGTTAAATGATTATTCCTTTACTTTGGGATAAAAGATAAGTTGACCGAAATGTTTATATAGAAATGTTGATAAGAATAGAAAGGTCGGACAGCTTTATCAATTTTGTAGACAGAAATGTAAAAATTAAAACTGGCATAAAAAATTGAATCAATGTAGTATATACATTATTTCAATCTATAGATAGGTAGATACACTAACATGTATTGGATTTCGCATTTATTAATGAGAAAAATTTAATTTAAAATTACAAATGCTTTGCATTGCTTAAAGTAGTAACAACTTTAATAAATAATATAAAGTGGACTGCTCACCGTATGAGTTGCTAATTTGACAAAGTTTAGTAATCAGTACAGTGTACTCGTATAGGTATAGAGTTATTCATTAGATTATATGTATAAAATCATGTTAAATAGAAAAAAAATCATAATGTAAAGAAGGGCATATACAAATTTAAGATAACATTATATGTAAATTAAGGTGCTTATGTATATATCATGGGTTTACCGTTATAAATCGAAGTTAAGAATATAGATGTATTGGATTATTTTTAATGTGTTCTTTAACACCGTTAGATACATTTCTACCAAACGATACTTAGGAATTCCATACATTTTAAAGAAATTTAAGTTTATAGATTTTCTAGTTTATTATACAATTACAATTCGGCAAATGTGTCTGAAAATTACTGGAATAATATAATTGATTGGGGTTTCATGGTTTTTGAAATGTTTACACTGTATAGTTTAATTCAATTTATAACGCAAATAAAAGCAATACAAATTGTTTTTCTTTTGAAGTTGTAATGGAAAATATTACTTATCGTCGAATTTATCGAAACAGCAATATTTTACCTTTTTTGACATTTTTGCATATTATAAACTACAAATATCAGACAATATTATTTATAGTAAACACAGCAAGTATTTTTTTTTATAAATACAAAACTAAAATAACTATACAAAATACTGAAGTAAAAAAAAAAAAAAAATTAACGAAAATAGGTGAAATAATTAAAAATATAATAATACACGATAAAGTTGTCATATTATTTTAGAAAAAGTTGGGTATTTCGATAGACGCACATGTAAATATAGATTTTTATTTTAAATCATCACTTTAATTAACTTAAAGTGTCGTTTACGTCATCGAACACAAAATAAAGTAGTGGTCTTGGTTAATTTTGATAATATTATTCAATGAATATGTTTTAAGTTTGCAAATAAAAAATAATGCCATTTTATTGTTGTGATTAAAAAGTTTTCATAACAGTATATTATATTTGTGTAACTTACTACAGTTGATTCGTCAGTATATTTAGTAATTGATTCTAAGAACGACATATGAGCATCCGTAACCGTTTTAATGTCAGTGACACTAGACGTTTCATTTCTGAACTGTTTCCATTCATCGTTGATCGTTTCGAATATGCAATTTTGAATGTCGTTTATGCAGCCTAGCATGTTTGACAATAATGCTCTTGTGTTTCTCAAGACCGGTCTCAAATCTACTTGTCAAAGTACGTGTGTATTTAGTGTTTAAAATTAAAATTGGCAAAATGTGCTATGACGTCAGTTTAAAATGTTCAATATCATAACAATATACATGTCGTGAAGAATCAGATAATTTAGCCTATACCGGTTATCATTTCGTATTTATGATGTAATATTATATGCACAACTTCATATACATACACATACTTGAAGCATACTAATATGAAAAGATAAATAAATGCATTCAAAGTTTTACAATTTGTAAAATGTACAAGAACCATATTCAGTGCGGTACTCCTCTCGCCCAAAAATGACCTTCCTATTTTTGCCCACGTTCTCTTTTCGACCAAAAATGAAAAAACAGTTTCCTCTTTTCGTCCATGGTTTCACGTTTTACATTTTGGAAACCACTGTCTCAAAATTATTAATTTTTAAAAAAATCATATAATAATCAAATAAAAAAATAGAAAAATATATAATTATTAATAATAATTAATAATAATTTAATAAGTGTTAAAAATAAGTATTTAAAATAGTGTTATCGATGTAAAATAACTAATAAGTAATTTGATCAGGTTACTACTTAAATAAATAGTTTGTTTTGTTGTTGTAAAATAATACAAATGTTCATATTAATTATGACTTTTAAGTAATTATAACGTTTATTAAAGTGTTTTAAACTATATATTTCGATAGAAGAGTCGGCACCTTTATACAATTTTCTCGACTGACTATATTAATAACAATCAAAAACGTGATTTTATCGAATATCAAATATGATTTTTTAAAAATTATTAATTTTGAGAAAGTGGTTTCCAAAATGTAAAACGTGAAACCATGGGCGAAAAGAATACAATTATTTTTGGGCGAAAAGAGGAAACTGTTTTTTCATTTTTGGTCTAAAAAAGGACGTGGGCAAAAAGAGGAAGGTCATTTTTGGGCGAAAAGAGTTCCGCCCCATATTCAATACTCATGAAAAATTTTAATATAATAATAAGTTAAAATAATACGTTATTATTTGCATTGCAGTTAGTATAGTAAAATTTTATTATTGAGACAATTTATTTAATTATTTATTAATATTTATATGATTATGTACATAGGTAATAGGGCAGTATAGTTTTTAATGTTTTACTGTTATACTGTACATTTGTTAGTTTATGTTTTATCAGTTATCAAATAATTGTCAGAAAATTAGACTCTATATAATAGATCAAAAAATTCGATAATCATTCAAACATAGTTGATAATACTGCATTTTTATTTTTTATAATATACTTTAATAGTTATGAATAAAAACGGTAAAATTAAAAACCATTCATATTGAATAATATACGTAAATTATGTGTGTACATATGTAATAAATTATTATTACATATGTATTACATTATTTTTAATTATTTATTGTAAATAAATATTACATATTATGTCGTATGTGGGATTCTTAAACGATGAGCTGCACGGAATATTTTTATAATTTATTATTTATATTATTAAATCTAAAGAATGGTTTGCATTGATGTAGTACGCTAAATATGTAAAATGCATTATTAAAAATTATTTTTTATTATTATGATATAGATCTTATATTTTTAGTTATTTTTATTTTAATTATAATTGCGGATAGTAATTAAAATTTGTATAAATATTGCATAGAATAAAATATAATTTTTAGTTTTAGTTACAAAATAATATATTATAGTTATGAGTATTGAAAGCCATTTCATGCATTGATAATTATTAATTGTACCACATTTTTATAATATTAAATAACATATACTTAGTTTACCAAGTATATTACAAGATATTTTTATGAAATAGGTCAGTCTATGCCACATTTTGATTGCAGTCCAATCAGCTTTTCTCAGATGCCATAAAAATTTAAATAAGTTGGCGTAGTGATTACAGCAAGGACCGAACACCTATATACAAGTTACCGTGATTGGTTTAGAAACAATATTGTATTTGACGTAGTAATTACTGTAATTAAAATGAGCTTTACCTGACTCAATGGTTTGTCTATCACGTACTCGAATTTGAAACTATCCCAGTTTACCTCACCCGTCCAATCCACCTTGTATTTAAAACGATCAAACGATTTATCATTATCGTTTCTAGCGGAGGTTAAATTGCGCGCGGATTCCACGATTTCTTTCAATTGATAATTGTGCATCCTTTTGTTCCCAAAATACGGTCTAAAAAATAAAACATGACATGTGTCTACACTTAATAATCTGCTCGGTTTCCTGGGGGGGTTTTTTGAACCAAAATCCTACTCCAATTTGAATATGATGTAAGTGTAAAAGTCACCACGACCGAACAACATGTAATTTCGAAGCCCTTCGAAGTGCAGGAACATATCGTATTTGTCTATTAACAATCGCACTATCAGCGCAGACGATTGATCAACCGCGTCTGATATCATTGTTGACGCTCTGCTGTATTTGTCGGCCAACTCGATTAGAAGTCCATCTAAAAACACAAAAGAAATTCGTTTTACATTCTATTTCTTGCCAATCTAATCGATTAGGATCACCTTCATTGACTAATTTAATGATATTTTCTCTAAGTTTCTCAATCTTCGTGTCCACGTTCAAACCAAGAACGTTTAATAAGAAATTCATGTTTTTGCCCGTTTCATAAATATCATTCAATTGTTGTTTGTTCAGAAATTCCAACTTGTTCGCAGAACTATGTCAAAATCAATATTGAATATAATATTAGAACTATTAGAACTATAAAAGTTATATTACACAGAGAGAAATATTTTAGTAATTTGCTTGGCATATTTACATATTATGTATTGTTACCTTAATTCGTGGCTATCATACCAATAATTTTCAGATAAAGTTTTCACTATAAAAAATTCACCATGCTCATCTTCTAATTCACCGTCGGTCATCCAGCGAATAATCATCGCTTGCATTGGTTTCGTTATCTAAAAATTAAATTGTTTTATTATTTTTCGTCGAAATATTTGCTAAAATAATAGATGCCGGTTTTTACCTCATTTAAAATCGTATTTTGCATCTCGCAAATTTTCGAAAAAACGATCACAGAAATTAAATTACAACCATGCTTGTTTTTACAATTTTTCACGGTCTCCGCTAAATACCTAAACCTCAATAAAACTTTGTGGTCAAAAGGAACGAATGTGTATAAGCCATCTTTGGAGTGTTCCAGTACCTCAAAGTTGTGACGTAGCTGAAAATATAAAACCTTAGCTTATGTATTGACAACAAAAACCGTTCATACTAGTATAATATAATACAACTGTTAATTATTTTTAAATTTAAAAAATTGAAAACACTTAAAATCAAAAGTAATGGAAAATCCTGGATAATTTTTCAAGTTTAATACATCGGTCCTATTTAAAATTTTACGTAGGTTCCAAGTTAATAATAACTGAGAAAGAAATCATAGACAACTATACTAGAAATAATTGTTACTAAGTTATTTTTAATTAAAACTAGTAATCCGAAAATTTTGATTTTGCAAATTTCTCCAGTAAGTACCGCCAATAAATGTGACGAATCACCCAAACAAGCCCCTATCTATATACGTAGCTATATTACTTACCCATGAATTTATGTAAGCGTAATATGAATGGATTTCCTTTTCCAAAGCACTCTTTAAGGCTTCGACTATGCATCCATAACACTTACTGTCGACATCATTCATGTAGTCTTTGATGATGCTGAGTAAATTTCCGAGCTCGGTGACAGGACCCACCATGAACTCTAAACCCGGAATCGTTTCATACGCGTTTGCGTCTGTTTCGATCAATTTCACGCCTTGACTGCATTGTATAAGGTTGAAAAGCATACGACTACGTATACCTTCCGTCTTGTTGACCGTCCATGGTAAAACAGTAATAATCTGATCGTTATATGCTCCGCAAATCGTATTCGACGATGGTGACAACGGTCCGATATTATTCTGATCATATCTGAAGTCATCCGGGCGTAGTCGTTGTTCATTACTGAGTCCGTTCGAATCAGTAGTAATCTATGGAATATAGTTAATTAACTAAATGAATATCGTAATTGATGTGCATGAAATGTGGATATTACTCGATCGGGATGTAGAATCGACATGCTACTCGATTTGTTTTGTTCCAGCAACGTATGGCAGACGCGGAGTATGGAATTCGTGTCCAGAGGTTCCTAAAAACGAACAATACAAGAACCGTTGTTATTACACGTTACACCGCAATACATATGTGCACGGGAATAAATGAAAAATACGACATTTTTAATTTTTAAATCGACAAACAGAGCCGTGAACTGTTCTTTCTGCGGTGATTCCAATCGTCCCGTAATCAAATTGTCGTGATGCTTTGTTAAGTCGCGCGAAACCTCCGAACGGTCTTTTAATATTCCTGCATATATCGCATTATACAAATCATCCGTGAAAGCGTTTCCGTTACGTTCTGAAATAATAAATACGCCATACAGATGGATATGTGCGAGTTTGTGATTGATTGTAAATATATAATTGATTGCTATTCACGGTAAATATTAATTAATAGTCATACTTACTGTCTAAGTTAATCATTTCGAAGAATAATTTTACAAAATGATGCGTTATTGTAAAATTATTACTGGAATAACTATGCGATAAATTTTTAAGCAAATTGATGACTCATTTTTTTCAGTTCCACAGATATCAAAGATTTCATTATATAGTTAAATAAATTACATAGACATATTTTACTAAAAGTTTTAGTTCAACGGAATAATATAATGTGTTTGTAATCCATGTAATCGATTAAAAATGATCCATGTCGTTACAAGATAAAACTATATTTAAAACACGGCTATAGATAATATTATCTATGGCCGTGATTTAAAATTATTTGTAACGTCACTTCAGTACATTAATAATAATACATTAATATCTAATGTTTAATTAGGAATTAATTTATAAATTTAATTTTTGTATAATTGGAAGAAAAAATATTATTACATACTACCAAATATCAGTATAATAAACAAGTAATATATTTAAATAATATTTATTAATTTTTCTAAGACACGTGTATAAAAAATAATATTTTTTTTATTACAAATAATATGACATTAAATTATATAGATTAATTCTTAATAATTTGGTGTTTTTTTCTTTTTATTTTTCCTGGTTAATCATATATTGAAATCAGTCATTGATAATTGAAATCATACATTCAAATATATTCCCTGCCACTTTCTTAAAAATTTGGTTAAAAAGATTAATCACATTAATTTCAGTATTTATCAATATTTATGATAATTAACAATAACAGTCTAATAATAGTAATTAGTCAAGGTAGGTACTCAACAGTCTAGGTGATAGTAAGTATATTTATATTTATTATTTAAGTATTAAGTGGTTATAATTTAACTGATCATAAATTGTGAAAAGTAGTAAAAAATTAATAACGATCAATCTAATGTGTTATTATCAGTCACAGTGTCATTTACATATTGTTTTGCTTAAATTACTACTATTAAATTATTTTGAGTTTAGTCACATTATGTATTTAGTCCATATTATATACGAAATTATTTAATATCCATATTGTTATTCATCGTTTATAGTTTTTGTTATATTTACTAGCAGTAGCATAACAAAATAAATATTTGGAGGAGTTACATTTTCAATTCACTCCTACATAAGTACCAACTTTTTAATTTTAATAAATCGATTAAACATAAATTAAAATATGAAATGTGTTATTATTTAATTTATTGAAACTCAATTAACACAGTCTACAAAAAAATATACATATTTATATATACATATACATGAACATAAAAGTAACTTATATTTAAAATTAATATTTAATCTTCTTGAATGTTTAGCAAGTTATTTCAACACGTCATTAGTCTTAATAATAATATCACGATGGATGAATAATAGGTAATGCCAAATTATACCTATGCCTTAAAATTATTGTATATTTTACAAAAAAAAAGACATTTTGGAGGGAGTGTAACCCGTTAACCCCCTGTCTATGCCACTATTTACTAGTAAATTTGTCAAAAAGTCGTGATTTTATTTTTTCTTATTTAATTACGATTTTATTGACTTTTTATATATCTATCGAATTTTTAATTCGAAACCGATTGTACTTTATAAATATAATAATAATTCAGGATACATTTTTATTTGTTTATTTATTTATAAAATAATTGTATAGACACCCTGAATAATAGTTTCTCAATCTACTTTGAATTTATAAATATTTTCAAATATAATTTAATATCTAGCAATGAATTTTCTGCTATAGCCTTATAACAACAACGTCTCATTAATATTGAATAGTATGATGTTTATAAAAAAAAAAAAACTACTAACTAATACAATCGTCAGATCCTGGTTTGAAACATATGTCAATAGTCATATCGTATATGTATGAATTCACAATTGATCAATAAAACATGAATGATAATTTATAAACTATAGTTTATGTTCGATTAATCAAACACGATAATTAATATTTTTATCACTGTATGGCTTTACATATATTAGTATATATAAACAGTATCAATGTTTAAAACAGAACAATGTTAACACTCATTACATAACATATATAATTTATATATACTTGTAATTTTATTAATATTCAATTATAGTTGATTAATAAACAACGTTAACAATAGTAATTTGTACCTATATGACTATTTAACTAAAAAATGAAACTTAAAAATAAAAAATTTTTTTTTTATAAAAAGTATTTATATATAAAGATATATTATGCATAGAGTTGTTATGTTAAAAATAAATTTTTTCAATTAAAATGTTTAAAACTGTTTTAAACAATTTAATTGAAACATCATAAACATTGTTTAAAACGTTTAAAATATGTTCTTTATTTAAGTGTTTTAACTAATTTTTAAATAATTTAGTGTTAATTTTAAAATTATGGGATGTGTATGTATTACATATTTAAGAACTTAATAATTAAAATAAAGTAAATACTAATAAAATAATATAAAATTATTTCAAATATTTTAAATTATGAGCAGTAGCGGAGCTAGGAAGAGGAAAATTTTTAGATTGTGTAATTTTTGTAGTATATAATTTATCATTGACTATTAATTGATATTATCCACTTTTTAATGATAATGTGTTTAAAACTCAATAAGTATTATAGTATACTAATTATTAAAAAACTTTGTAGGGAAGGGTATTTAATTCTTGGTCTGTGAAACAGCGTAATTTCAACACTTTCCTCGGGCGCAAAAATTCCTAATTCCGTTTCTGTATACGAGTTATTACCAAGTAATTATATACACGACAAATGAGACATGAATAACTATAACTGCTAGTAGTTGTTAAAAAATCCTTAACTGATAAAGTAATAGTTGTAAATGATAATTTTTGACCGTGTAGATCAGAGATGGCTTGATCATGCATTTTTGTGGTTCCACCAAAAACTTTGGGGTGGGTGTCATTTTATTAGTTGGGTCTTGGTAATAGGTAGGTAATATGAAAATAGTAATTTGATGGCCTAGTCATTGTTATTAACTAGTCAATGGATACTATTATAAACGTAGACCTCTTCCGTTAATTCACTACCTACTACTATTTTTATTTTGTTTTTCCGTTTTTTTTTTTTTTTTAGATTATTATACATTTTTATATTATTTTGATTCTGGAGGTATGAAGTGTGCAATATGTTGTAGTATTGTATCAAATAAATTAGGACCGTAACGCTTACGCTACATGTACTCGACCAAGTAGCTGTTCAGCAATTGGTCAGTAGGTACCTACCTCACTGTTTTTATTTCAAGATATTATTTTGCTCCAAGAACTCTCAACAGTATTAGTGTGAACTTAAGTATTAGATTTTATAAAATTAATGAAACGATTCACGGTCATGTGTTGAACAGTTATATCAAGCCTTTGGTAGGAACGCCACTTATCAGTAATTATTGTCGTATCTGCAGCAACTTATTCAATAATAATCGGTAACAATATACGTGCTGATCTGTCGGAAACAGGAACTTAGAGTTTCTTTGGTTTCCCTACAAATGCCACCTAAATCCCATTGATTTGATAACAACCTTCCTATGTTATATTTACGTTTACTGAAACAGCTTTCATCGATCTCACCAGCCGTATTAATACCACATATTTTAGCACTATTGTTTGTGTATTCACATACTTCACGCATGTACATTTTCCAGTCCACTGTTGTGTTGTCGTTCATGTTTAGTTCATCCTCACAAAACATAATTGAAGTGTACGCCATACTCCAACAACAAATAAACATCACTATTGTTTTGTAGTCGAGATGAGAACCAGCCAAAAAATTATCCGCACGCAATGGCGCGTATTGTCGACACTCTCGTTTTGAACAACACCAACGATTTTATTTGTCAGCGAGTTGCAAAGCTTTCAAGTTTATTTTTATATAATATCGGATTATGAAAAATGACACGGGTTTGTAAAAATCTCACTGCATTATTATTATTTGTATCGCATTCGCTATCTAGAGTAAGCAAATGCATGATTGCCTACGCAAATCCAATCATTGATTGACCACCGAATGCGCTGTTCATCCGTGTGTTCTTTCAAAGCAATAACATAAGGCAATAACAGAAGATACAGTTTTAGAATTAACGGAAAACCCCAAAAAAAAAAGTAGTGGTAGTGAAAAAGGTCACGAACGTTAATAATGAAGTATTACCATATAAAGTTATTTATAGCTTAAAAGCATAATGTGACGTTATTTTATGAGTTTAAAATGATACTTTTTTTTTCTATTGAATAAAGAAAATTACAATCTGTGAGATGTTCACAATAATTAATTTTTATAATAAAGAGGATAGCAGTGACATGAAAACTTGAATAGGAAGAGGTCCATTGACCACACCTATAATAAATGACACTCAACAGTTATTATCGTGACCGTTTTCCGCCATAAGTTATATTCGATTTCCGCAATCAATTCTATTTTAAAATTATAAACCATTATAATATCATTATTATTGAACTTATTTTCAATGTGGGACATTGTAGGCATAGGTGAATTCTGAAAATTATTTTATTTATAATCACTTAAATTAATATAAATTAATATAAAATTAAAATCTATAACTTTTTTTGGGGTAGCAAAAAGATACCTTCACTACCCCACAAAAATTTCTGGGGAAGCAAAGATACCCCTCAATACCCCTTAGTAATGCCTATGCACTCATTAATACACTAACACTTTGTCAATTTTTCAACTAAAAGTCACTTTTATAAAATTTGATAGATAGTTTCCTTAAAATCCGTGTTTTATAGATATATTATGTTTGATAATTTTTATTTTTTATATCGCTTATTTCAAACTAAGGTATTTTATAAATGTATTATTGTCAATCACGATATAATGTCTTAAATCGTGTTGCCAATCAACAATAGTTGTAGATAATGGAAGATAAATTAATGATAAGACATTTAACAAGTAACCACAAAGTACATTGTTATCTTGACAACAGCGGTATATTGTTATCAAATATCACTTTTTATATGTATTTATTATATTATACTTAACAATGAGTAAGTGTAAATTTCAACATTCGTGGCTTCAAAAAGTTGATTCATTGGGATGTAAAATATCTGAGTGGTGCAAAAAGAAAGATGATGATTATGGTTATTGTTATTATTATTATTATTTCAACTGCGATTTATATCTAGTGTCGAAACCAATACTGGATTAACTACAAATATCATAGAAAATAATATATCAATGTACAGGGTGTTTGATTCAACAGCAAAATTTAAATTATTTTGAACAATAAAATTACTCTGCGTATTCAGCAGATGGAGTTTCAAAAATATTTCAGGCTATATTTCCATAAAATTTTCCAAAGTTATTCTCTTTGTCACGCACTAAATTAAGTTACTTGACTACCGAAGTTAACCTTATACCCTAAGACCATACTTCAAGGACATCATGAAAAGATGCTCATAAGTCTATTCTATTCTTTTTGATAAAACTATAAATGCTGAAAACGAAAAAGAACTTCAAATTTGTATGTTGGTCTGAAAAAGAAAAAGAAATTACAGTTAAACATTTAGAAACACTTTTTTTAGGATGTGCAACAGGAGAGATATTGTCTGAATATATTTTTAAAGCATTAATTAATGCTAATATATCTTTGATAAATATGTTAATGATTAGCAGTGATGGCCCTAATATTAACAAAACAGTAAAACGAATAATAAATAAAGAATTTTTAAGTGCTACCAAGTATAATTTGTTGGGTATAGGTAGTTGTAATATACATACAGTAATGCGTTCCTAAAGGGATTAGAAAAGTTTGGAGAAGAGTCATCTAATCTCTGTATAATCATTTTTCACTTCTTTGATGGATTTCTAAGTAGAGTGGAAGATTATGTAAATATTCAAGTTAAATTAAATGTTCTTGAGAAAAAGTTTATAAAACATTTACCGTCTAGATGGTTAACATCAGTGACTCACGCAGGGGGGGATAAGGAGTTGTAATCCCCCCCCAACATTTTCTCCGATGCCTAGGTTAAAATTTACAAATTTTACAAGTTTGAAGAGCTAGTATTGAATACCTAGTATCATTGATTATAGAATAGTCTATTCTATTATCAATGCTATTATTTAAGTCAAAATATATTAAGGATTTGCATAATTTTGTCAATTGTAAAATGTGTTATATATTTACCTTGACCCCCCCCAAAAAAAAAATCCTGTGTGCGCCACTGGTTAACACTAAAGGATTCTTGTAATAGGTTATATGGACGATCTGCAGCTGTGGAAGAATATTTCTTAAAATTTGTTCCAATGAAACGTCCATCTCAGGCTAAGACATCATCTTAATAAAAATTGCTCGAGCACTTCCATTTGATGTACCAATTTATTACCTTTTAAATAAATGGAGATTAATTCAGTTAGAGCTCATGAAAAATTTAGTTAAAACATCTAGAATTGATTTTCATTGGAGGCAATTTATATATATTGAAGATAATTCAAAAAATTTAAAATATCCTATCATTGCTAAAGTTATAAAACCATTACTTTCTTTAACACATGGAAATGCTGACGTCGAATGTGGGTTTTTCAACTCTGGTAAAGTTCTAACTGAAGTCAAAACTTGCATATCATTAAGAATGTTAAATGCTCGATTATACGTTAAAGATTCATTAAAATTTTATTCTAATAAACCTGAATTAGAGCCTTTTACAAATGAATTTTTATCACTGGTAAAGGTAGCAAATTCTTCTCATAAATATTATTTAGAAAAAAAAAAAACTTTGAAAAAGAAACTAAAAAAAATGAATATGAAAATAAGTTGAGGCTAGAAAAGGAAATACGAGTACAATTTAACAATAAGAATAAAAAAGAAATTTGGAAGAAACGGAAAAGAATTTAAAGTTACATAAAAAAGCATATAGAGAAAAAAGGATGGAAATGACAAATTGAATGAAGAGGCTTTAGAGCGAATGAAAAAAAGTATTTAAAAAGGAGATTTAAAAGAAATAAAAATATCACAGTCTTTCCAAGAACAAATTTTATCCCTAAAAAAAAAACTGAAGAAGAAAAATCAAAAGAAATTAATAGTCGTCAAAGAGAGGTAGATCATTTTAAACACAAGCTACTTACAACATTGTTGAAACAAAAATAAATATTGTTAAATTATTATTTTATTTTTATTAATTATTTTAGTAAATTACCAGAAATATTGTAAATATATCCAGTTTATTTTGTTATGTTTTAATAATTTTATTATGTTAAAAATAAATATTTTTTTGTATTCATTTTGTTAAGCTTACATTTTAATTACTATTTATTCCTATTTATATGTGATGCAACAAATTAAAAAAAAGACTGTTACTTAGAATAAGATTGATTCATAAATATAAAATATGTTGTTTGTTTGTTACGTATACTTTTTAAGAATAAATTGTAAATATCTCAGTTGAACAATAATTTAAATTACTATTTGTTCCAATTCATATATGATGCAACAATTTAAAAAAAGACTGTTACTAAGAATAAGTATAAAATATGTTATTTGTTTGTCATGTAAACTATTTAAGAATAAATTATAAATATTTTAGTTGAAAAATATGTTGTCTTATCGTCTTTTTTTAGGTTACATAAATATTTTATTAGTGCGTATACATATAAATATATTTACTAATACATCACTGGCCTGGGAATTCTCACCTGCTCTAATAAATGATATCAAAACTTAAATACTAATTTAAATATATAAATTAAATATAAATTGAAATAATAAACAATTATAATTAAAAAATAATGGTCACTTTTTTTTATTTTATAGTCACTTTTTCAACTATTTTAAATTTAAAATCTTATTCTAATTCTTATGGGGGTGGTCCAAAATTTTTATTTTATCTCTAATTATAATTATAGTTTAACTCATTACCAAAAATTGATTATTATTAGTGTACTATAGTATGGTTAATACATTATGGGTATATTATATAAATTATAAACTTTGTATATTGAGGATAATGGGAAATTAAAATACACTATAAACTATTATTATACTATTTACTATTAAATCTTTGAGTATATAGAAATTTCAATGGGGAGATCCGGACCCGAACACTCTCCCCCTTGGGTATACCCTTGCATTGCTTGAATTTAGCAGTTATTGATTGCTGTGAAATGGTAGTTAGTCACTATCAAGTCAAGCGCTGGTCAAGGGGAAGTGTCGCAACGAGTAGCCTAAGCTCACCTCGGCCGGATACGTCACTCCCCAACGAGTCGCCGACACCCGTACCGTAAGAATCCCCAGGCGTCCTGTGTTCGCCCGGTGATATCCAGCGATTCCGTAAGCCCCGTCGAAGCTAACTGCATTGACAAGTGAAAGGGCACAGCCGACGGACGTGTAAATACGCGTTACCTGACGTACCATCGTGTAAGCATCATGGTAGGACATGCGTCGACGATAAGTAGTCATCGAACCATCTACCGTGTATTAATACAGGATTCGCTTACTCGCCGCCGTAACCGCTCCAGGTTCGTCATTACCGCATTTTGACCACGGGATGAGACAGCAGTCCCGAGGCTGAAGTGAGATGTGACAGGCCGCTCAGGCCCCGTGAAAATGGGGACCCGATTTCGGGGGATGGTATTTAATCGTTAACAATTGAGTTTTCGAAGTACCTATCGTAACACCTCATACAGTACCTCGTATAGTGCCAACTAATACTGTAAACGTTACAGTGTTTTATGTATTTCAGTTATTATGAGACAGT